GAGAGCCCAGATTGTGCGGTGTTGTATAATCGTCTTTTGTTCACGAACCTGGCTCAGTGCACTGCTGACCTCTTTTCAATAGGGGCCACATTAGCGTGCAGTGGTACTGTGTGGCTCATCCCTGCGGTGGTGGAGCGCCTTTGTCCCCGGTGGTAATCCGCTCGCTCTCAATGCCCCAAACCCTGGTATACGGTTTCAAAACAACGCTGGATTATCACCACTTTTGAGAGTGAAAAATGCCGGTAATGCCCAGCAGCCTGGTCATTTGTTCGGAGTACGGTCTTTTGTTACAGGGCCCTGTTTCCTTTGTCCGAGTTCGGAGACCCCGGCCACCCATATAAACCATACGTCTCTAAATCCAGAGTTCCCGGCAGGAAGTGGTTAATGAGGTTTTTGTTCGTGCTCCTTTTTGTCCCATTAAACCTAATATTTAATTCTTTTTGTACCAGTTTAAGGGCATTTCATACCTTTCTTGGCAGACAAAAATGTGCATATTTGTGAGCAAAAATGTGGCGTCATCCAAGGTAAAAACCGCAAGTCAGGTGCAAGGCCTGATTTGAGCCCAAGAAAAGACTGTGTCATAGTACCGGTGGTAGTGCATGGCACATGCTTGATTACATGCTTCTTTGAGGATAAAATGAACTGGTGTTCTGCTGGTTTGAGAGGCATTTTCATATATATCCTGTGACAGGCATACATCCTGGTCTTGTATGACATTACATCGTGACGAACAAGGTGTATTGATAGCCTGGCATAATGGGGAGTTTGCCATGTCATTATGAGACTTGCAGCAATAGCACTGAATTTTGTAGAATGTCGTTTGAATTAAAGAATGTTTTGGCTTGCTGGTAGACTGTGGCTATGATGTACGCACGCTTGACTTGGCAGATGGCTTAGATTTCCATCCATAGGTGGCACAGTCCAAAGAATTTTCTGATCAGGTGCCTTTCCTAGCCTGTGCAATTGACTGGGACTCACAACGTGCTGCCTCCATATGACTGCTAAAAGCCAAAGTTGGATCCAGAGTAAGAGTCAGTTCCAAGCTTTCTCAACAAGCTGGTTTTGTATCATTTTGGTCAATGAATCAAAGTTGCATGTACAGTACAATGTAGAGGCCAAAGCACACAATGCAGACACATGTACCATTCTTGCAAAGGTTTATTATAAGCACTGGAAGGATTGGGAGACTGTATATCCATGCCATCTGAATCAACAGCGCACGTTAGCAGTAACATTGCAAAAAATTATACTGCCCTTCTATTTGCAAGCAGGGTAGTGGTACAGTGCACCAATGCTCATCTGTGCATGTTTAGGTCCTAAAAGCCACATGAAATATCCCTAAAAGGTTTTTCCATTGTCTCTTGGACATTAGAGGGTTACCTGCAGAAGAGAGAATTGAAGGGGTACTGTAAAGTGGGCCATTTGAATTCTTGATTCTTGTATGCAGTGAACAGACATATTGAAGGTAAAGAACAAGATGAACAACACTTTAAGTAACATCAAGCATCATGGCGGTCACTCCTCATGTACACGTAACTCAGTTCTTTATTTCAATTCAGAACAGTGTGCCAGTGGGCAAATTTTTTTTCACAAATATTTAAAATGAGCAAAATTTTCAGTTTACAAAGTGAACAGTAAACCTCCACAATGAAGAGTGTAATCCTGTAATGACATCACAGCATTAGCACCCTTATCGGTCAGAAAAAACAGGAAAATTTAAATGATTAAAAGTGCAGTTTTGAGTGAGAGTAATCAAAACAGATGTCAGTTTTCTTACATTTATGAGGAGTAGAAAATTGCACAAAACATGTTTCAAAGTAAACTTCAATGCATGGACACAAAATATCTCAGCTTTCCTCATCAGTCGGGTGTTTCAGTTATTGCATTGTGTATTAGCTTTTACGTGAAGTAATTTTTCATCCAAAAGAGCCCGGTTTTGGCCCCTCTCACAGTGGGATGGGGGTGTTTCCTCCTTCCAAGAACTCGTTTGTACCATGCCCGATTTTTAGAATGGTGTTGGGCATGTAAAACACTCATTATCATTACAAATGTGAAGTTTGAATTCAGTCAGACAAACAGATTTGTTGCTATGGTCAATGGAAGTTTTAAGGCTACAGTTTAAGGTTTATTGAGCTCCGGGGTGCAAAAATGTATCCTTGTTGGTTGACCTGTCTTGGAAAAACGGCAGGTATTAGCGCAAAAATGGTATGTTTTTTTCAATTTTCACAAATTTGGTGTTCAAATGACCACAAAGAGTCACTCTACCAACTCCTAAAGGCTGAGCTCCGGAGAAAAATGCAGTTTGAAGACATCAGAAAAAATGTCAAGGGGGGCAGGATTTGCCCCCCCCGCTCTATTAAGGTTTATTGCTTTATAAACTTCTTATCTTTAAATTAGAAGTGTGCAATTTATAGAAACCGCTTTATATTAATGAATTATTTTAATCTCTGATGTTTTAATCAAATGTTCTCACTCTGATCACAGGATGGGTGCCTCGGATAATCTTTCCCAGCGACGCAGCACTTTCATGGTTGAGCTGCAAGAAGCCTCGGACATCTTGAGCCAAGCCACAGAATGCAGCCTGGTAATTCTGGATGAGCTGGGCAGAGGGACTAGCACGCATGATGGTGTGGCTGTTGCATTAGCAACAGCAAGACATATTATACAGGAGGTCAGTTTTGAGATTCTGAGTCTTCGAAATTAACAAATTCTTGATGTCCTTGTGCTGCACCTAGCTCTTGGTGATCTCACTTCTGACTCAGTAGTTGACAACATACAAAGATTGTTTAACACTTCCACATTGAAAGGATTACCTAAATTTAAGAATAAGCTACCGGTAGACCGAAGCATTTGTTGTATCACAGAGTATAAAAGCATTTGGGCAGTACTGAATGATGACAACATTGATTTTGAAGTGTCAAAAATATTTATGTCTAGTCTGCTGAGTCTTGAAATCTTGCAGATGTCATCATGAATGTATTACATAAAAAAGGTGCTATTACTTTTTTGGAAGTTGGATACTTGTCAGATTCTCACTGCCATTAACATTTATGATTTTATAAGTAAATCTGTAAATTTCAGGTGATCCTCAGTGTGTAGGTCAAATTACACAATACTTTGTATCAAAATGAAAATCATTAAAAGATCTCTCAAGTCAACATATATCGACAGTGTTTATGATTTAGTTAAGGAGGTGTTTTATTTATTGATGTGTATTTTGCATGTCTGTATCCATTATTAAATGTAGAATTGTGTGATTCTTCCTTGCTGCGAAATTTGAAAATAGAGGAATTGGTTATGCAGCTATGTGGCAACTAAGAATACAAATCTGCACTGATTTATTCTTCATTTGATTGTTTGTAACAAAAAAAGTTGTGCATGACTATGGTTGTTTAGCTATGGTACTATAGTATATGGATGTCTTCAATTAGTCAGGAATGCATTCATAAGAAAACGTGGCTTTAAGAATGCTATTTATTCTTTGCACGCTACCACCATCAGCATGCACGGGAAGCCTCAAACTTGCAGTTTTACGCAGTAAATATTGCAGTTTCGGTAATCCCCATGTATGATGCTTAGTCACAGGAACCAGTGAACTGGCCATACCGATTGTGCTTGCTACATCACATGACCTATATTGGGTATCAGCTCCATAGGAATGTGTGCTTTATGTGTTTACATACAATACAGCCAAGTTATGATATAGTGGGTGTCTTGTATTTCTATGCATCATGCGGTAGACAAATTGTGCATTTCTTGTGTGTATAATGTGACCTCTTTTAATGTCATCATGAAATCACTGGTCAGGTACTACTGTATGTATTGGTGAAGGTTTTTCCTTGCTGAAAAGAGCATTTGATAAAAAAAGTTGATTTTTTTTAAACTGTAATATAATTCAGATCTGATGAAAGGAATATTTTACACAATTTCAATATAAATCTCATCTTTTAAATGAAACCTTACCACTCAAATTTAGGTTTTTTTTCCTGAGCTTCAAGTCACATGGGAAATATTCTGTTATGAATAATAAGAGTCAATAATTGTAAAAGGAAAGTAGTATCTTGCTAACTTCTAGGGTATAAAAACAGTTGAAGATACCAGCAATGGCCTACACTCAGTGTACCATGTGCATAATACTCATTTTCATAGGGTGGATCTAGCCAGTGGTGAAACTGATAAATTCAAACGGATGTTAGCAAAATATGTACGGAATCCTTCTTGTGACTTTCAAAGTTGTCGACTCAGTGAAAGGTAACAAGATGGCCTGTTTCAGTGTCTGCAGAAGCATTACCACTATTGCCATGTGCAGCATTGCTTCCACATATGTGCGTAGTTCCACCGCAGTGAAACTGCTCAGTATGATGCAATACAAGCTGAACTTAAGTGAATGCCTACTACATGTATGCGTGAACACACCCGTTACGCATGCGCACGAAGTCTGTGGGTCTGTACAAAGCCAACAGGGAAAGTGAATCAACGGACTGCCGCGAGGGTTTTTCTGTCATCGGTGTATGGAGAATATCATTGATGGGTGATCTGAGACTAAACCTGTCAGCTTGGATTTGAGTTTTTACCCATTTTTGAAAATTAAAGGTTTTACACTGTAACTTCCAGTCTAATGTCATCACATCAGTCTGAGTTTTTGTAAATACATGTATGTTAGATGTATAATGGTCATTGTATCTACCAATTTTTAAGCGCTTCCAGCAAACCTGCCTCCAGAGGGCACTCAAAGTTGCATGACATCATCGTTCTAAGTGTTAAAGAATAATATTGGACTGGAGACTAACGCTGTTGAAACCAAGTTCATATCTATTACCACTTTTAAATAATAAGGCATATTACCACTTTTAAATAATATGGCACTTCCAGTTTCGGCCAGAAGCAAGGGTCACATGATTTGACTCCCGAAACAAAAATAAAGGTCAATTTACTTTGTCACTTGCAAGACAAAGACAAGGGATCTAACGGTTGATTTTATATGCATTTTTAAAGATTGAAATTTTCAAACTTGAAAGCTTTGTAATTTGACGCCTGATGACTTCATGACGATGTCATAACAACTGTGAAAACTTAAGATGCTTGTTGATGTGTGTGCCAAGTCTGACCTTTGTATCTCATTCCCTGTGCTCAGCCAAGCACGGACAAAAAATGTTTGTAAGAAGAAACACAAAACCAATCTGGACATTAACAATAAGGTTTGCACTCAGGCCAAAATCCTAATTATTCCCAAATTTGGGAGGGCAATTAAGTTGCAAGGAGAACTTTAGTTTAAATTCCGATATCAGATGCAAGTCATGTAGTGGATTTTTCAAAGTAATGTAGACACCAAGACAAGTTTACAAGCTAGATTTGACTTTGTAATGTGACACAGGGAAAGTCAAGGCCATTGACGCATGGTCTGGTTTCTTTCCAAATCTTTAATGGTGCAGAAAGCTAAAACCAAAACAAGAAAAACCCTGAAACGAGAAACAAAATAATGCAAGATAAGTACTAAACCAATGGATGTACCATTCTGGCAAAGAACAATCAAACACATATTAAAGTTATAAAAAAATCTGCAGTTCCTTTAAACACAACATGATGCACTAGGCTCGGATGCACAGGGCACGTATATGTTTTTACCTGCACTCCAGTAATAAGCAACAAAAACAAATCACACGGTGACTGGCACACCAGTCTATCCAGCCTACATGCACTGCCACTAAGTCTTCCCACAGTGCTTAACTAAGCAGGAACAAGGGG